TCACTTAAAGTGATAAACGCCAAAGGAAAGTCTGTTTTCTACTTTCAATTTAAGACGATGATGCATAACTACTGTTCTCACCGTTAAGTAACATGCATTGGTATATGCCATACTTAGTTCTTATTAACCGAGCGGGAGGTCTGTATGGGAGAATCTTGACCGAGGTCACCAGTACAGACTGAATGCAGTGAGGTCTGTACCAGCGACCGAGGTCAAGATTCTCCCATACAGACCGATCTAGCTCGGTTAATAAGATGTTTATTATATGGCTGTGTCTTCTATGTCAATTTTTGATATTATTTGTGCCTTTTTTTTTTCTAGACCAGTCTAGACGCCGGTCTAGATGGGAAAATCTAGACCGCTTTCAATATCGATTTCAGCCAATCAAATTCGTAAATTCGGTAGTTCCCAGTCCTTGTGAGACACAGCCATATAATAAAGGAGATTATTACACCACTAGGACAGTCAGAGGGCCAAGAACTAAAATCAACCAATCAAAATGCTCTATTGCCGGTCAATATTCTCTCAATACTGCCGTGCGTGAGTTTCTTGGCAGTAGATCAGAAATGATTAGCAGGTACTATTCACCCCCAAGCAGCCGAAGAGACAAAATCGCGTGTCAATAGTTTAATTTCCGACCATTTATTTTTTTGAACGAATAAGGAAGAAAGAGATAGAAAATTCAACCACCATACATGCATCTAAAATATATTTCAATCCAAGTCGGCTCGGATTAATTCGAATTGCTATTTTCTGAAGAAATAAAAATACGATCTTTCCTCAGATTTTAATTGTACTTCTCTGCTCATTTTAAACTTATAATGGCATTAAAAGTAACTTGCGCACCTTTAAGTTAACCAGCTAAGACGCAGATAAAATTGTTTTTCAAGATCTTGAGTTAAAGAAATGAAGCAAATTCTATTAACAAAACTAACGACGCACAAAAGCTACGTCCATTATTCACTTAGATACAAAAACACCTGCCTCATTCCACCCGAATAAAGGCAAAAAAAAAATTGTTAACCGTTTTTGGCAGTTAACTCTTTCCAAAAACTTCTGTATGCCGAAGGATCACGTTCAATCCTGAATATGGCTTTGTTATTGTTAACTGATCTAACGAAGCTCCGACGAAGGACTAACGCTCGAAACGTCAGCTTTTATAATCTTAACGGTAGCCAATTTACCACTCAACTTTGTTGATGTATTCAAATTATTTTGTTATTGTTAGCTGATCTATCTTAGGGCGTGCAGTGGATAATTTTTTTATGCTAATTTACTTTAAATATTAATGCTTTGGGTTGCAGAAACAAATGAGCCAGGGCAGTGGTCTCCTTCATGATAGTAGTTAAATTAGGGTGCACAATCTTGATGTCCAGTCGTTAAACTAACTAAAAGCGTCAAAAAATAGTCTGTCGCTTTATATCCTATCATTGATATCTTAATCGGAACTGATGTATTTTAAGAGGCAAGGCCTTTTTTTCACGATGCTTCCCTTCAGTTTTGTGTCTGTTCTTTTGGTAGGATGGCTTTATTGCTGGGTTGTTGCAGACGAAGGTGAAGTAATTGTTATTATCTTATTGGTTATATGGTAAACTTAACATTTTTCGTGTTGTAGAATTCAAAGCCTTCAGATGAAGTATATGTTCAGTACATTTTTTCGGAAATGGCGTGCTAATTGCAGCCATGGCCTACAGTCCCCACGGCGCTCTCTTTCACCTACTTTGGAGTACAAAGAGGGTTCTTTTTTTCCGAGGGGGTAGAAGTACGGGAGAATTCTAGCTTGTATGTCTTGGCAGGGCAAAGTGTTCAAAATCGTTACCAACAATAATCTGAGTCCTATCACGAAATAGTTTACCCCCCTTTTTAGAGAGAGCAGCGATTAAGATAATGTACCCGATTTTAGCGTGGGAAGGATCTGAGGAATATCAAAGGACAGCCATAATATTGAAGCATTTGCGACGATGCATTTGTTTCATCCCTTTTTCTGAATAACTGTTGTCATTTACAGTGTTCTCATAAAGAGTCAAAAGGACATCTTTTCGTAGAAAGTTACCAACACGAACTGGCCACGTCTGATGTCGGATGTTGTCAGTTTTCAAAATAACAGAGAAAAGCAGGATTGATATAATGAAATTCGACTGTTTTTAGACATAAGTTATTGAATTTGCAATCGTGAAAATTATGGGAAAGGAGATAAAAAAAAATTAAGATTCCTCTCCCTAATCATTAATCAATTATTCAAAGTCGTCATTAAAAGAGGGCTTGCTTTAAATGCTAAGTGAAATGATAGACAAAGTACAGACAGGTTATCAAATAATTGAAATGTGTTTTGCCAAATACAAAATTCAAGAGAAATATAGAATTCTGAGGGCAAATCGTTTTACACTCTGGCAAGTTCCTTACAGTTTGCTATAAAATTGCTTAATTTAAGAGCAAAGGAACTGATCAGATTTCGGGCGCATGGTTAAGTAAAGCAGCATAAAACTCCGATCAAAAATGCTCTTTAGACTTTCCGAACTTTTAAGGATTTTTTTTTCCATGTACTAGTGATAATAGTTCTTCTAGCACGTGATTCTTATGATGCGTAAAGTGTTCTAGAGTTCTGATGAGATATTAGGCATGAGCAGAATCCTTTGAAGAATGTTTTTTTATTTAATTTTTCATTTCTAGAAACAAAAATCGTTGATGTACAAGGTGAACCTCTCACCCAAGGCACAGATAAAGGAATGGCTTATGCCAACTTTGTGCTTCACAAGTTTTCCTTCCTTAACATCACCAGTATTGGTTCGAATCATGTTGTTACAGGCAGCGAATGTGGATTTGCTTGTGTCGATATTCCTTCATGTTTCTCTTTTAACCTGGCCGCATTTCATGATATCGATGGCAAAGTTCTGTGTGAATTGCTTCCATCGGATATCTTCAACAACTCAGACAAGCAAATCCCCAGTCAGAGTCACCATCACTATAGTATCGCAGTAAGTTGTAAAGAAAAAAAATATTCACATAGCCTGTTTTTTTGAAAGGAAAAGGAGAGGAATTACATATGAATGCATGAGTATATAGTGGGATTGATTGCAGAAAAAGGAGAGGGGTTATTTGAGAAAAGACTTAAAAGGATTTTCGGTATTAGCGGCGAAGATTAACTCAGAGATACTGACTCCATTTGTAAAGACGGCTCATAATGATATTTACTATGATTGTTGAGCGAATGTCACATCTTCCGCGTTTCTTTCTCATTTTTATAAGTTATATAGGATTTTTGGTATTAGCCGAGGGAGGTTAACTGAAAGATACTGATTCCATTTGTGAACACGGCCTATAATCATATTTATTACGATTGGCGAGCGAATGACACATCTTCCGCTTTATTTCTCACTGTTATATGTTTTTTTTTAGTCTCCATGTATCAGTTGGCCTTGTCAGAACAATGGGAAATGTGCTGCACAGTACGAAAAGAACAGTTACGTGTGCGTTTGCGCAAATGGATACATTGGGGAACATTGCGGAACGGGTAATACGCATTTTAGTGTACATCAGTACAAGACTGCTTCATAACTAACTGACAGTGTAATTCTCTTCCACAATCGGAGAATTTGTTGTTTACCGCTTTCCACTTGTTATCGTATATTTCCAAATTCACTTGAAAAATCATTTTAAAGTAAACACTATTTGACTGATCAATCTATTAGTCAGAACAATGTGAAATGTCCTGCACAGCATTGTTGTTCATCGCTTTCCTTGTCCAATGGTTAATTTCGTTTTTCCCTCAGATATTGACGAGTGCAGTGCTTCCATCCGGCTCTGTGATGTTAATGCAAATTGCCAGAACAGTTATGGCTCCTACAGCTGTTCTTATAAAAGCGGAATTTCTGGGAATGGAAAAACATGTCAAGGTAAACCCCATTTGCTATTAATCTATTAGTCAGAACATCGCGAAATGTCTTGCTTAGCGTTGTTGTTTGACGCTTTTCTGTCGTGATCGCATAGTTTCAAAGTCTCCTGTTCATTTATCCAATAGCTAGTTTCGTTATGCCCTCAGATATTGACGAGTGTAGTGCTTCCATCTGGCCCTGTGACGTTAATGCAAACTGCCAGAACACTAATGGCTCCTACAGCTGTTTCTGTAAAAGCGGATTTATTGGGAATGGAAAAACATGTCAAGGTAAACTCTATATTTGTTCTTAATCTGCTAGTCACATTGTTTAGAGTCAGTTTGTTAGCTAGGCTCTAACTGTTTCTTCTCTACGAGTTTTGCATACTTGTATTGGTAATTTCATCTATTGTAAATAGGCTTGCACTAACAGATAAAAAAAAAAACTCTCATGTCGAAAGCCTTAGGCTTCCGGTATAACTCTTTCAAAGGCTTATTCAACAAGAACCGAGAAGATAAAGTAATAGAAAATGAACGGTTTAAAAACATGGGAATATTGTTGTGCAGCAGCGAAAACAAAAAAAACACTGTTGCTTCAGCAGCAGTGCTTGGCCAGGAAGCTCCCTTTTAACATTCGGAAGTCCCAGTACTTTAATGCTGAGATAATGATATCCTGTATTGTCAAAGATATTATAGCACCCTTATAACACGTTCTCATAGCAGTTGAGATAAGTTCGAATTCTCGTTGTTTTTTTGTTGTTGTTGTTTTTTTGTTCCTCGATGATTATGGTATATAAAAATTGTTCAGCTCAAACATCAATCCACAAAACTCATTAAAGTGCGTTCCATTTCGGCAATCAAAATAACATTTCTTAAAAATTCCTGGCCGATGGATATCAGATGGTAAAATCGTAACAGTGCCACCCCACTGTTTTTTCTGTACGGCTAATAAACAGTTAATATCTTTCCATTATGGTCAAAATAAATTTTTGCGATGAATTTTTTTTTACTGTTTCACCATAAGGGCCCCACTGAAAACCGCTTTGGCGAGTTGAGCTCCCTCGTTAAATATTATTATATCTCAGAGAAATCAACTGAATGCTACATTCTAATCAACCAGCACAGGGCGAAAACCATAACCTGTGAGCCATGAAGTAAAAAATAAATGTACACTAACTAATCCTAAAATGCTCTTACGTTGTGTCTACGGTCCTCCTTCTAACAGGAACTCAAAGTGCCACCTTGAAAGTCCGGGCAATATTCAACGTTCCGGAGAGCACTGCCCTCTGCATCTTTCGCAGTACGTCTGTGCTCCTTCCTCCCACCAGCTCGCGCATCATGATATCCAGCTCCCTTGACCTCCCCCCGAGGGCATCCGTTATCATGTTATATTGTTTCACCTCGTAGCCTGGGAACTGCTGCCTTAGTTCCCATCGAAGGGGTCCGTACTTCAGTGTCTTCTCTTCATCCTTTCTTGTCTGATTGTTAACCCACAGCCAGCTCATTTCCAGCGTCACAACTCTCTTGCACATATGATTTACAATGTGTGCATCCACCCTATTGTGCATCTGACCTGCTGTTGATCAGCATATATAGGAACATCCCAATAAGCTTTAACATTCTCTGACTCATACACAGGCTTGGGCTTGTCGGGTGAGTAGCAGGGTGGTATCTCGTCTATAACTCCCTCATCATACAACAGTTCGTAAAACAGTACCTTCAGTGCTGCATCGTGTCTAGAGAGATACTTGCCCTGGGCCAGCGCATTGCATCCTGACAAGATATGAACCTCATTCTCTGGAGCCTTACCGCATAATCTGCACCTCACCTCGCCTTCCCCGCTGGTGTGGGTCTTCTGACTCGTGTATACTCGCGTTGTGTCCACATAAGATATCCAAGAACAGGTAATGCAAACTGATTTGACGCTACCACCCGATTATAATCGGACAACGGACTTGTCCAAATAACTGACAATCGTCTGAGATACTCTCTTGCTGAACACTCCAGGACCAACTTATGTGAAAATCTTTACACGGACTTCACAACCTCTATTCTTACAAATGCATTTCGCACTCCGTTTATATCTGTCGGTCGTGGTGTACTCCAAGGTGATTGCCTTAGCCCACTTCATCTTCTCTTTAACTTGTGTTTTAATAGGTTTCTACAGCATATTAAATCTGAAAAATACCGCCAGTTTGGCTTTTCCCTCGAGTTCTTAAATCCCATTCACTGGTTTCAGTTCGCCGACGATGCCGCTGTCATAGGCGGTCAAGAATCAGAAAATCAACACCTAATTAATCGCTTCATATTATGATGTAATTGGTCGAACATGACGATCAGAGTTGACAAATGTTCTACTTTTGGAATACGGAAACTGTGCACTAAATCTGTGCAATATTTACCCAAGCTGTTGATACGTGGAGTTCTAATTCCCTGTGTGGAAATGGGTGAATCATTTCGTTACTTAGGTCGCTTCTTTGTCTTCAACATGTCTAATAACCAAAAAAAATCTGAATTGTCCTCTCTTGTACAAATCTTGATGAATGACATCGATATAAAGCCACTGCATCCTAAACACAAAGTTCTTCTGTACTGCAGCTGTGTCCTATCGAAGTTGTCATGGCATTTCACCATAGCAAATATATCAAAAACCTGGATAACGCAACATCTCGACTCTGTACTGAATGGCTACATCCGAAAATGGCTTGATATTGAGATATCTGGAACACTGAGCAATGTTTTCCTAGAAAGCAATAAATTTGGTCTTAATATTTGTCCTTCCTCTATCAAATTTACTCAGTGCCAGTCAGTTCTCTGAAATTCTTAAAAAGAGTCCCTAAATGATTCCTTGAAAGCTCTCTGAGCTGTCACACCAATATTCAATATGATGTGTACAAATCCTCTAAGGAAGTTCCTAAGGATTTCCGTTCTAATCAAGAGGAAAAACTGCAACACCACCTAACATCTCAAGGTTTCTTCTTCTCAAATGCTATCAAGTATCCATTGTCATCTGTTAATTCTATTTTGTCAGTGGCCCAGTCTCATCTACCGAAGAACATTTACAACTTTACCATCCGCTACATCAACAACTCTCTTCCTACACGTAAGAATTTGGCAAGATGGGGATTATCACAAAGTCCTGACTGTTCCTTTTGCCTTAATCCTGAGTCACTCCTTCATGTTGTCGCTGGTTGTCAACAATGCCTTGATCGCTTTAGGACCGCGAGATCCAGATACACTATGTCCGACTGCAGGCCCTTATCAAGAGACTGGCCAATCTCGTGATAGAACGTTAGAAGCTGGGTGACTGTAGATCGACCCTGAAGGAAACCGTGCTGAGCATTGTCAAACAAAGGACAAAGAAAATCATTAAAGTGCTTGAGTATACATCGTTCTAATACTTTGGACACAACGCACAGTAGAGAGATAGGTCTGTAGTTAGTAACGTAGTTAGATAGGTCTGTAGTTGCCTATACGTAGTGAGATATACAATTGTACATTATTATTATTATTATTATTATTGTTATTATTATTATTATTATTATTATAAAGACAGATAAAGGGTGAGACCTTAACGGAATTCGTTACAAAATAGAAAAATAATATATAACTCTCCTTTACGATATGCCCATCATATTCCAGAAAGACGAAGAAATAAGATTAGACTGTTCAGACATTCAAAAACAGAAAAGATGAGAACTGTTCTTTCATTGCAGACACCAACGGCTGGACTCTTATCGCTCGATTCTCAAACAGCGATAGCAAGAATTGGATGCATGACGATGGTAAGTGGTGGTATGACCAGCAAATTACCGTTGGAGCGACAAAAAATTCTTCAGAGAACAACGATATGATCTCAACAGCCTTTTGGTCGGTCAGCGGTAGTGAGATAAAGATCACGCGCAGTGACGACCCCAGCCACACCCCTCTGTTACAGACCACAAATAACTGTTTGGGTGGACAAGCATTTCGATCGAAAATCACAAGTTATGGCGACTTTAGAAACGGCACGGTTTGGGCCAGTGATCAATGTCTTGGAAGCTGTGCGGCTCAATATGGCGGACAGTACAATTCAACAGATGGGTTTCAAAAGGCTGAGTGCAGTGGAAACATCCAAAGCGCCAACAAGATCGGCTTCTGGTGTGACTGGAGTACTGGTGATGGGTCAGTAATGAAGATTGGTGGAGGAGGTAGTAGCTGTGCACGTGCTGATCATGGGATTGGAATCACAGAAACTGGTGATGCTTCTTTTGTTGACTTAGGAACCAGCGAGACTGAATATGACTTTGGTTATGATGCTTTTACAAATACCGCTCCATCCCAGTCCTACTCTTTGAACTTATGGATCCGTTAAATATAATCAGCTCTTCATTTTTCAAAGTTAGTTTAGAGCTGAAGACTTTATAGAGAATGAAATTATTCATTTAATGTCACATTGTAATCCAAGTTAGATGAACATTTTAAAGTGGTCAGTAATAGCGCATCTTTCCCCTCTCGTAGCAAAGTTAAAACAACTTGACCATCACCCCGGCCGCAACGCTTTAAACATCCTATGATCTGTACAAGCAGCAAATTAATTGCTATTAGAACTTTTCGAGAAAACCAACTTCGGTAGAATTAATTTATGTCAGACTTACGACTCATCGATCTCAAGGAAAT